AAAGGGCAAAAAGTTACGTTATGGTTGCGAATTCTACAATATATGTCAGAGTATTTTTATATCAGCTCTGTAGGCATGAAGGAAAATTGTCCACCACAAATCCTACTCGAAATATACTTCGTGAGTCTTTACCTCTGTTTGGAACTCTTTCTCTCCCTGCTTAGAATTCGAAGCAAGGACCTTAACAGCTACTACCTCTCCAGAAGGCATTTTTGCTTTATAGACCGGACCAAATGAACCTTGTCCCAAAAGTGTTGTGAAATTCTGAGTAGCTTTCTGTACATCTCTGAAAAAGGTATCAAGCATTAGATACGCCACGTATCATAGGATCTCATTCCAAATACCTTACAGGGACTATAAACCTAATAAAGAAACCGCTTCCAGAAAATGGAAAATAAGAACCATTACAGCAGTATGTAACTTTTGTGTAGCTCAAAAGGTTTGAGCTCTTGCAGAGTTTAGAAATTCATACTTGTAAGAGTATCTATGTACGCCTGATGCAGAAGCAAATCGATCTTTGCTGTGATGACTCCACCAAGAGAGTGGAGAACTTTTTTGATGGTTCTCGGGTCCTTGAATAGCTTTGGAAGTTGAAAGAGACGCACTATAGTCAGTGGTTGTACTTAAGCCATTTGTGCGTATAGGTAGAGTGGTAAGACTACGCTCATTAGCACATTGTCGTAGACTAGTACGCTTTTTATACCACCTTATGCCAAAAAATATGAGTACAGCAATCAAAATTCCGAGGGCTAGACCAACAGAGACGCCAATGATAACAAGATCAGTTTGATGAACCATTCTTTGGTCTCTTCTGAAATTCTGGCAATGAGAACATCTTGCAGGGCATAAATGCCACAGGTTATCTGCCATAGGATCGGCAAACACATTAATGAACACTCAATTCCTTCTCAAATATTGTACTAACATCACAAGTTGAGTTCAGAACACAGTAATTTGAATGCCACAGACATCTCTAAATTGAGATGATGACTGCAAGTACAATCAGTCGAGCACAAGCAATGTGATCGAAAATCTTTATTTTCTTACCTTGCCCGATTCAAAACGGAATTGGACGCATTTCCAAAATTTAAACTGTACAACCTTTTTCAGGAGAAATAACATGTCCGTGAATATTATGCATAAAAATTGTATCTTGCTTGTTTCACTAAAGATATAAAAAGCACTGCAAGATAAATCCCTTTTTTATTTTTCCATTAACTGCTTTATTTGTTCATATGTATGCTGAAGATCAATGGCAGAAACTTATTTGCATTAAAAAACGATAATTCAGCATACACACACACATATAACATATAGATGTGTGTAAATATACATATACATATACATATATATATATATATATACACACATATCGAAATTAACTACCAAAAACCAATTTTCCCAATTCCCACAACCCCAATTATATTACATGCTCTATCATCAAAAACCAGGACAAACCCAGAAATCAGAACCAACCCAGATGCCCAAATAAGCAGAAATTCACAAAGTCAAGACTGACAGAGGCAGACCCATCAAAGTTGACGAAGAACAATCACATACCTCACCAGCTGAAAACCCAGTAACGAATTCTGATCCATTTGTTTCTTTGACTCTGATTCTCTGAACCGTTATTGCAGATACTGGGTCAAGGTTGACGACTCAAAGGGCAGTGACCCAGTTGAAGAAAAATAGAAAAACTGCAGAAAAAGAAAGAAAACTGAAAGCAAAAGCCACAAACAGGCGTCCTAGTAGGACTCGGAGTTGATGGAATAAAGGAAGGACGCGGTTTTTGACGGGCTTAAACTGCTTGAAACCGGTTTGGTGGGGCGATTAAAAGGAAAATATGAGTAAATAGGTGGGGAAAAATTGAACTAAACCCAACATAGTGTGCAGAAAGCAAAGCCGGTAAAGTTGTAGACTTTGTGGTCGTTTTCGGCCGTACTACCAATTGCCAATGCCTCGTCAATTTTTAGATGTAATCCGCCTTTAATTCTTATGTTTTCTTTTTCGTTGGTTTGATCGTTTTGTCGCTTTGAGCGCAAGCTTTGGCTAATCTGAAGTAAATATAGGGTCGTCTAAAACTGCTTTTCAGAAAGCACTTACATTCAAAAGCAAATTCGAGGTTTGTCTAAAGCTAGTTGTGTCAATTAGCACTTGGTTATTGTATTTTGTGGAAGTGCTCCTTGAAAGAGCACCTACCATAAACTTTTAATGAAAGTGCTTTAAGATCTAGGATGTACATGTTAAGTTTTTTCTTTACCAAATATAGTTGAAAACATATTCAGTGTCAGATAAGAGCTCGTTTAGAAGTATTTTTAAAACAATTGAAAATACTTTTAGAGAAAATATATTTTTGGGTTACAAAAGCACTTCAAGTGCTTCATGAAAAAGCACCAGTTATGATATTCCTGTAAGAAACCAATTATGGTCTTCCTGTAAGAAGCACCAGTTATGTGCTTCTTGCAAGAAGTAATTTAAGTATTTTTATAGGATTCACTTGCATATTTACTAAGGAATGAACCTAAAAACAATTTAGCCAAAAACGTTTTCAACCATTTAAAAACACTTCCAAACAAGTCATAACTTATTTAGTTTTTTCAAAAGCACTTTGAAACCCAAGTGGTAAATAATATTTACTTCTATAGTCAAAATTCTACTCCTTTAATATCTTTTGTATAAATGAAAATCATACTCTCTTCCTCTCTCTAAAAAAATTTGCCCCATATTTTTACTATATAAGGTCAATGATTAGAAAGAAAACTATCTTGCATGTTCTCATGTGTAACCCCAACCTTTGGCTTCTCCAACTTAGATAAGCTAGTGGGTTATGTTATGGTAGACTGGTACTTAATTATTACAAAATTATTAATTTAGCTACAAAAATATGCATATTATTATTATTGTTGTTGTTGTTGAGTCAACTAATATGCTCAATCAAAAGCATATTTCTTTGGGTGTCTTGACATGGTCTAAGTGGGGGTTCATCGTGTCATGAATATTATTTAATTTGAATAAGAAAAGTTAGAACATTTATTAATTACTAACAATTCCACCATTACTAATGCATATTATTAACACGATGCTATAATTTGGAGATAATCCCCTTCCCCCCAAAAAAATTATTCAACTGGGATTTTCAGCTCAAGACTTACGATTCAAGAGCGAAGGAGTATGTCTCTAAGAGCTCTTTGTATAGACGTGTGAATCATGATTGATTTTAGATATTATTATGATAACATCTTATTGTATGAGAATTCTTCATGCGAAACTTACTATTACAATTTTAAGAATATTAGTTGACTTGACACCAACGCTAGGATACCCATGTAGTCATCGACATATTTTTCAATGTTTTCAGGATACAGAGATGTACAACATATGTCATTACACAATTAGATATAAAAAAATTTCATCAAGTATCCCTCTAATTATATAATAACATCTGATGCAAAGACCCATTTCCTAATCACATTGAAATGCTCTCGTAGTCATGATTTATTGCCAACCATTCAATTATTAAAGAGGTATGTATATTTAAAACAATGTAACATTCTTCGCATGGTTAGGTAGAATTGAAGAGGATTGGGTATGTAAAAGACATGACCTACCCTACTCGAGCCTTGTTTGTAGGTTTGGGTCTTGGGTGGTTGTGTTGCTTCCAATGGGTGCTTGTCAATTTATGAAAAAAGCACACATCTTAATCCTAATTCACTATACTAAAGCACTAACCATTAGCCAATTGCCATACTTGTCTGCCTTTTTTGAAATGGAAATAGGTGAGAAAGATTCTTGGGGACCAATTAGACCTGGAAAACGGATATTGTTTATCGCATTCGTATCGTTTTTGAGTCATATTCATTATTTTAATAGATTGTGTCGCGTCAAACTTATTATCTGAACGGATCGTGTCTTGCCAAAAAATTTCGTGCCTAATGTCTAAACCTAGCAAACGGGTCATATTTTTGTCATTTACATATCATACATGTTTTCTTAAAGGGTTATTAACGTGTGATTCGATAACAATTTGAATCGTTAACAGATTCTTAGTGTTGATCCAATAATGAGTCGATTAATTAACGAGTTGACTTAAAATGTGTTATTTTCGTATCATTTCGTATGGCCAAGGTACATATTACATAAGTGGATTATTATAGCTTCAATGTCCTTGTTTAGTTTCTTAGCAAGGCACTTTATTTACGCTTAATGGGTCTTTCATTGAATTAGTAGTCTTGTCAGACTCTTGGTCCTTATCCCCAAGATTAATACTAGGAGACTAAATTTGTAAATAAAATTTTGTAAATTAAATGACATGAAAGCTGATGATTAAATTATTATTTAAGCGTTGATAAACGTGCTCATTTCCTACTGATGACACGTCATTTAGTTTACAAATTTAGTCTTCTTAGCATTACTTTATTCACAAATTCGATATGAATTTCAAAATCTGATTGTCAACAATAATTTTTAGTATCACTCGTCGTACTTGTTCCAATTCATCACATCTTTTTTTAGTAAAGATTGGATGGATCATCGTACTGTTTGAATTATTTATTTAAAATATATTCTTTTATACTCTAGCTACTACTAATCTAAATAGCGGGAAGGAGACTCAAACTTGAATCAATAATAAAACCCTAACTTGCAGCATCAGTTAGTTTTGGGAGCTGCTATGGTCACATGAGATGTGAGTTTGGAGCCCCAAAATTCATAAAGTAACTTTTCACCCCCAGAAAAAAAAAGAAAACTCAAAACAACGATCACAAGTTTGCTTCAATTCACTTCACTTTCCATGAGAGTTAAACAAACCATCACATATCAGTTACCATTGCATGTACCAAAACTGCAGTTCCCACCTTACTAAAAGATCACACCAATTGATCTTCCTCGTGAACTGACCAATACATCAACGCACATACACACACATATATTGATATGCTACACACACACACACACACACACATACACATATAAGAGTTATAGCAGAAAAATAAGCATTGCAAATGTTCCAGAATACGAGAATGAAATCAGTGTCATTTATTTTCTCGTTCATAATTATGTTCTTGCATTTTCACTCATTGCAGATGCATAGTTTGCCAATTGCACCAGCGCTGTATGTGTTTGGGGATTCACTTTTTGACAGTGGTAACAATAACTTTTTACCAACTATTTGTAAGGCAGACTACTTGCCTTATGGGGTGAATTTTGTTAAGGGAGTCACTGGAAGATTTACCAACGGAAGAACAGTAGCAGATTTTATAGGTAATTTTTCATTTATTGGCTCTAATTTTGTACTGTGGTTTCTAACTTTCTGTTTTAATATCTTTTTCTTTCCCTCTTTCTTTTAGCTGAGTTTCTTGGCCTACCATATCCTCCCCCATACATGAGCATACGTAGATCAGCGACAGCGCTTACAGGCCTGAATTATGCATCTGGCTCTTGTGGCATTCTGCCAGAAACTGGAAGCCAATATGTAAGTTTAGGCATGAGTTAGTGAAATTAATTAATTATTAGATGAAGTTGGTTTAGTTAATTGGATGCTCCTTAATTAACATCCATTTTTGTTGGGGTTTAAAATGCTTCACTACTCTAGAGATGTTTATCTCACAAAGAAAAATGTAACGCAGCGGAATTGATAGGCAAGAGAAAGAAAGAATTCTCAAAGTATTACACAAGGTTTTTATTCACTCACAAACTTAGTACAAAATGAAACACTCAAACACTCTTAGAATCTTTGTTGCTTCTTCTTACTTCTTACTTGACACTCTCACTTCTTGCTACTTGCTCTCTTGGTTGTTACAAATGGTGTGGATGCCTTCTCCTTTTATAAGGCATGGATGGAACCTTGGAGAAACATGAAAACATCATGCTAGAGATATCTAGATAATTCCACTACCTTCCTAAGCTAGAATTATCTACACTAATCTTGTATGTTGGTGGAATCCTCACCATTCTTCTAGACTCTTCCACCAACTTGAACTTTGCTAGAATTCTCTAGCATGTGCATGGATCTTTCTTTGTGTATGGGCCAGATCAATTATCTTTGGACCAAGACAAGATTACAATTCAACAATTTTTTCATCACGTTTGCCAACAAGATCATTTAATTTTAGAACCATTAAAATCCAATTAATCACAGCTAGGCAACATGCTTGGCAGGCAAGCAAGCTATATGAGCTTTTTCTTTATCTTCTTTTTCTTGTTTTACAGGGAAAATGTTTGAATCTAAAGGATCAGATGGATTTGTTTCGAAGAACCGTGAAGTCGGACTTGCCAGGACAAATAAAAAATCAAACTGATCTTCTGCAGTACTTGTCCAAATCTATATTTCTGTTTTCTGTTGGCAGCAATGATTTCATCAACAACTACCTCGAACCTGAAGTTTTCGATACAAGCAAACGCTACTCTCCTCAACAATTTGCACATCTCTTAATGGATACAATTGCTCATCATATGGAGGTACCAATAACCGATCTCTTTTTCTCTGCTTATTCGTTACTAATTGGAAAGTATAATAAAACCATGTATAATCAAATAATAATTAGCTGGTTCTTGTTGCAAATGTCGCAGAGGTTATACAACTTAGGAGCCAGGAAAGTAGTCATGTTTGAAATTGGTCCACTTGGATGCATTCCATCCATTGCAAAAACACACAAACACAGTGGAAACTGTGTGGAAAGTACAAATGAGCTAGCCTCGATTTTCAATGACAAGCTTCGTGCAACACTTGTGAATTTAACAACCACTTTCCAAGGTTCTTTCTTTGTTCTCGGTCGAGCAAACTGGATTGGCTATGATGCAATTACAAGTCCTGTTAAATATGGTAAATTTCAAAACATAAGTTGTTCTGCCCCATTTCATTACAATTCAACATATACTTTTATTGATTTATATGTATCGATCGAGTAGGGCTAATGGATGGAAGCAATCCATGCTGTACTACTTGGGAAAATGGGACTTCAGGGTGCATTCCATTGCTTAGACCGTGCTTCGAACCAAATAACCACTTCTTTTGGGATGCTTATCATCTAACGGAATATGCAGGCTCAGTTATAGCAACAGGCTGCTTCAATGGCTCAACCGTTTGCACCCCTTTAAACATTAAGCAACTTGTGAAAATGTAATAAAGTTAATATTTGTACTCATTAGTGATTAAGATTGTTTATCAATCTAGCTAGCTCAAGGCTCTTGGTTTATGGAATCATGGATTTACTACTGCAACTAAATGTTCGCGCTTAAAGAATACAGTAAATTAAATTGTATGAAGGAGGAGAAGGACACAAATTTAACTTAATTAGCAGCATTATGATATCATTACTTCACAGAACAAGTCTAACTACAAATTATTAGCAGAGGGGCAGCTGTATGAAGGCACACTTAATGTACACAACACTACTTGTTATAGCTCCTAAGCGTGATTATATGAAAAGAAAACAAATCAATTAAAGAAGCACACACCAGTATTCTATATATAGACTAGCTAGCTATAGGGGCCCGATCACTATATAATTAAACTGGCCGGTTTCGAGATCGAGTCAGTCTCAATGCTGTGGCTCATGATTGTTTATGGGCGGTTTGCGGCGCCGATCTCTTCCCTGATAATCTTTAGTCATCAGGTTTAATGCCTCTCTTGTTGCCTTAAGAAGCCTTCTTGTTTCCTCTGTCAACTTAAGATCATCAGTTTCATCATACTTTGTAGTCTCTTCACAAGCATAAGCACTTTCCTTACCTGTAATCAGAAAACAAATAGGATTAACATCTTTCTCAATCAACCATTGAAGCAGTACGGTAACTTTCATTTTTGCATCCAAACAAACACATGTATCGCAACCTTCCTAAGCTTCAAAGCAAGAAATTCCCTCCAATATGCATATATCTTCAATTTTGAGTGCTAATTAATACATACAACTAAACTAACTTACTACCACATGATATATCTATCATATACATATTTTCAGTACAGTGCGCATCTGATAGCAACGAGATGGCAGAGATACATAAACTGATCGAAGATTGAATTACATTTGGTTTTCAGTGATTTTCTCAATTCTTATAAGCAGTAGTAGTACGAGTATTACTTTTATCATAGTCGATCCAAGCTTAAAATTTTACATATAGATCTCCCTATCCTACGAAGTCATAGTTTCCATCAGAACAACGGGCTGTACCTGAATTCGTTGATGTAGTACGGGTATCTCCATTCGGCCCAACTGCTCTTGCAGGCTCTAACTTCCTAAACACTTTGTGTGCCACCATTTTTCTTCCTCCAAGCCCCACCATCCTTGACCCAGCTATTGAAATTCCATGCTCGGTTATTTCCTGCACATAAACTTATATGGCTTAGCTTACAAATGACTAATTGGTAAGGGAACATGAAACAAGAGAAGCTCTATTTGCACTCCTCAATGAGCTTCTTGTACTCGTCTGGATTGCGCAAATATTACAAGAGTGTCATTTTGCGCACTTTACCATGAAAGTGCAAGAAACTCTAGTGCCATAAGCTGTCTAAAGAGTGTAAATATATAGTATTGCCCTGGAAGGATCGTGAGTAACAAGTACCTGTTGATCAGATGGTCCATTTCCGGTAACTGAAAGCACTTTTTTACCTGCAAAAGGTGAGTATACATAAGAACCCTCAAATACAAATCTATGAGAAATCCCAAAATCAAATTAATGGACTAATAGGAGAAGATTGAGCTATCTACCTTGATGAGCATGTATGGTAAACTCGCCTAGGGCATGCATAAAAAAAAGAAGCCCGACTACGAAGCTTGTAAGCTGTTGCATATCTTTTTGATTTCTTCCTTAACCAGTCGTTGGATTAACAAAAAGAGGGGAAGTTAATTTGGAGAGACTAATGGGGGTTTTATAGAGACCCGCGAGTCAAAGATAGGGTTTCAGTACGTACCTCGGCTGCATAAATATGCACAGAGACATGAGAGATTTTTTATTGTGCCGAAAACACTACCTGGTACGCCAAATGTATAACAAAAGTGATTAGAAATATGATTCTAACCATCTTTATTATGAGATTTGATGTACTCGACCGTATTCTCGGGACAATAAAAATTTTCTCCTCAGACAGGAACTTGGGAAGAACGCAAAGCTAAATAATCTAATGAATTAAATTAAATATTCAAAAGAAAACACTGTTTTCGGTTTTCAAAACTTTGAATGTGGTTTCACTTTCACCGTCAGTCTCAGTCTCACGAGTAAATTTTAAACGGAACCTGCAGAGTTTAGCAGGCAGGTTATTAAACGTATGATGATACATATTAAATTAATGAAAGTAACTAGGGTTTCTAACTTTTGAGCATGTCTCTCCTGCCATGCATGCTCGAAGCTAGATGAGTCACTAACATTAACCCCTACAGGCTACAGGTGTAATTTAGTATACTGATTAATTAAGTTCAGGATCACTTTGTTAGAACCAATCAAATGTTAAGTATATATTATACAACAATTGCACAAAGTTTATTTCGAATAGAAATTTCACAAGGATATAATATATATCTTACAATACAAACAATTAAGAAAAACTGAATTAATAAATCACAAAACACTGACTTGGTTAAGAAGATAGAGGCTTGCAGTAGCAATCTCCTAAGACAGAAATACGCCCCTACACCAGTGCAGTAGTTCAAATGGACGTCTATCTTGCAGGATACCACTATCTAATCCAAGTTCTTGCACACGAACTTGGATTCTTGGCGAATTGATTGAGCGTTTCTCTGTGAAATATGGAGGAAGGAAAAATGAACTTGATGATCAGTTTCTGATTTTATTGCCATATATATAATGGCATAAATTGAACAAACACAACCGTTCATGCTTATCAGTTTTTTAAAAAAAAAAAACCGAATGTAACTGTTCAATCAGTTTTATCCTTTCGGAAAAAAACTGAATCCAAAAAATCAAAAACATAACTTATGTTTTTCATCCATCCGAACCCAAGAGCCACAAGGCCCATCTTTGACAATTATAATATACACCCAAACCCTCCAAATCTAAGGCCCTAGATCCATGACTTTAGCCCGATTCATTTCAAACTATAAGTGAGTTCACTCATTTATAAAGGTGATGTTCAAAGAAGGTTTGGGCGATGTGGGACTCCAAGTCCCACGTAAAACACAAGTTCCAACACACTCTTCTCCAAAAAAAAAGTTCAGGACCACTCTGAGAGAATCAGAGATATTTCTCAATTGAGTGGGGAAGAGGTAAAAAGATCAGATCATTATTCAGCTTCAGCAATAGTAAATTCGTGTTAATTAATTGTACCAATTATCATTGGCATTGTGTAAGGTAACTAAGTGTAGTGTCAAATTTTCATGGAGATCATACTTTATAAAACTTAATAGCAATAAGAGATCAAGTCGAGTAGTCGGATCTTAGTTGTATTTTTTTTTTATACAAAGTGATGTTGAGTTTTGTGAACTCAGGATCTTGATGGGTACCAATATATGAATGTTCTTAAGTGACCGAGTTATAAGCTCTTTGCATTTAATTTATTAATTAAGCCAACCAAAACGTATGGTATCGTTTGGTATGCAGACGGGACGGACGGAACGGAATGGGACGGGACGAAATGGGACAGGACGGAATGGAACGGAGCGGGAGCAAAGATGCCCTCGGATGGAAACAAGGAGAAAGAAGACGGAGACAGAGAGGTTATAATTTTGTGTTCCACAGATGTGGAACGAGTCGTTCTAGGGGGGTGAGGTGGAACGAAAATTCACCCAAAACTCGTCCCGTGGAACAGCTCGTTCCACCCGTTTTAGGCGCACCAAACGTGAGACGGAACGCTTTGTCCCACTTTGTTCCGTCCCGTCCCACGTACCAAACGGTACCATATGAGAACCAATTTTAGGAGGGGCAACTTGAGTATCCAGACACACAATTACCCATATGGCAAGCTTACCTTTTACCAAGTTTTTCATGAAGAGAATCCCATGAATTGAACTATATAAAGGGAGAAAAAATCACAAATAAGTTACTTAATTAGCAGCATTATGATATACATCATACTTCACAGAACTAGTCTAACTACTGATTAGCAGCTGAGGCGAGCTGTATGATATGAAGTCATGCACACTTTTATTTCAGAGCACTATTTGTTATAGTTTCCTAAGCTTGATAAAAACAAAGAAAATAAATTAAAGAAACACACAGTAATTAGTAATACACCGTATTCTATATAGGCTAGCTATAGTGGACTGATCTGTAGATATTCCTAGGTGGGCAAAATTGTGAGCCTAGCCAGCTAAACCCGTACGTTTGAAAAAGATTGAGTGCTACTCAATCTCAAGCCCGTGGCTCAAAATTATGTATCGGCGGCTTGCGGCTTCCCATTCGGTGATAATCTTTATGCATCAGGTTTACTATCTCTCTTGTCGCCTTAAGAAGCCTTCTTGCTTCATCTGTCAACTTATGATCATCTTTTTCGTCATAAGTTGTAATCTTTGGAGCCTTGGTTGTTGGCCGCTTTGTCTTGAAATTTTGGGAGTGATTTGGTTTAAGATCTCTGGGAATTTCCAAACTACCGGCAGAAGTACTTTTCAATGCTGTCAGCTCCAGTGTCTTCATATCATCCTGGTTCATGTGTAAACATATAACCAAGTTAGAATCAAATTAAAGTCAAAAGTTAAGCTGTTGGAATAGGCTAGTTATAGGGTTCGAACCCTCCAATGTTCAAAAATAATAAAGCCAAAATTGGAAGTAATTCTGAAAGTTTGTGTGTGTGTGTGTGTGTGTGTGTGTGTGTGTGAGAGAGAGAGAGAGAGAGAGAGAGAGAGAGAGAGAGAGAGCTGTACTTGGTTTAATTTGTTTTGAGGTTTTCCATGGGAATTGCTTGAAGCTTTAGAATTATCCTTGCCTGCAATTAGAGAACAAGTATATAACATGAATCATGTATAATTCACCACCTTTCTCAAAACCAACATCTCAAAATTGGTTCCACAACCATTATAAAACAATATGGTCATCCCATAGTTTTCCATCCATTACTCAAATATATTGCAAGGAAGCATCAAATTAAGCAAAGAAAATTCCCTCCAACATATATATATATATATATATATATATATATATATATATCTTCTTTGAATACTAATACATACAACTACACTAGCTAGCTATATATAGCTACTACATGATATAACTATCCCACATATGTTTTCACAAGAGCATCTGACACCACAAGCCGGGGAAGGCAGATAATCTAAGATCGATCAAAGTTTTCTCAATTGTGTTTGGGAGGATGGCGTGCAGGCCCGTGATAATCAGCACCAAAAGCTACAAAATCATGATGAGAAACTTTGGAGTACTTCTTAGAACTAGTAGTACTAGTATCACTTTTATCAGGATCTCCAAGTTTACATTTTACATTTAGATCTCCCTTTCCTTCAAAGGCACAATTTCCATCAGAACTACTACGGTTTGCACCTGAATTCTTGAAGGTGGTACTAGCCTCTTCATTCAGCTGCCCAGCTGGTCTTGTTGGCTCTAATTTCCTTAACACTTTGTGTGCCACCATTTTCCTTCCTCCAAGCCATATCATCCTTGACCCAGCTATTGAAATTCCATCAACATTTGGTTCCTGCATACTTATATGGATTAGCTTATATATCAATTTAAATCATATAGAACAAGAGAAGCGCTCACTATTCACATACTCCCCAGAAAGCTTCTTGCACTTCTGAAACACAGTTCAAATAACACCATTCAGTATAGTGGTGCTATTTGAGGAGTGCAAGAAACTCTCTGAGGAGCGTTCAAGGTTAAAGTATGCTTTACCTTTTGATCAGGCAATACTGCATGTTTCCCAGTCACGGAAATATCTCCTTTACCTACACATTAAACAGGAGTGCTATAAGAGAAAATACTCCATAAAGTTCTATGCATGAGAAATCCCCAGCCCGAATATATAGAAGAGAAAAAGCTATAGATATCTAGAACATATCTACCTTGATGAGCATGTGCAGTGCTAGACTGGCCTAGGGCATGCATAACAAAAAGAAGCCCTACTACCAAGCTTGTAAGCTGTAGCGTCATTGTGTTTAGTTTCTTCTTAGCCTTAACCTTCTAGCAAAACGGTAGTGATCTTAGATTGACAACAAAAAGAGAGGAAACTTGGAGAGACTAATGTGGGTTTTATAGAGAGAGTTCAAACCCAAGTACAAGCTAGGGTTCAGACATGGACTTACCTGCATAAAATATAATTCTCGAGGGTACCGGCAGGACTTGGAAGAACCCGAAACTAATTCATTTAATCTATAAAGTATTCGAGACTCTCGTGTGCAACCAAGAAAACTATTCAAGAAGAGAGATTATATTCACACACCCCAAATTACTTTTTTTATACCTTTTTTCTTTTTTAATATTTTCTACACACCACTAACACTTAGAAAAATATTAAAAATTTAGAAGAATGTGGGAGAAGTAATTTTGGATATGTGAATATAATCTCCCTTCGAGAAAACAGTGAAAGTTAAACAACTTTTCCAGTTTTCAAAACTTTAAATGTGGTTTCACAAGTTAGTTATACATAATCTTTAGCCAACAACATTCTTCGGGTTCTTTTGGTGAGGATTCTGAGAATCTGTAAATCATGTCAATTTATGTACGATCAGTTTTATCAAGTACTATTTGTGTTTAATTTTAAATAAAATTATTTAAATTATTTCTGACCGCACAATATACGATAAACAGATACGATTCACGGATCTCTAGGATCCTCACAAAGAGAATCCAACAAGGATCCGGATTCAATCTTTAGTGGTTAACAGGCCATAAAACGTACGATGATTCATATGAAATGAAATTAATATGTATAGGGTTTTTAATTTTTTTGGTTCATGTCTTTATTGGCATGCATGCAACGAAGTAATTAATTTAAGGTAGGCTTAAAGAATAAGTCACTAACAACCCCTTGTAGTATATGCTGATATGATCAGGGTAGCTCGAGAAAAGGCTAGACAGTAGTTATCAAAACTAAATTGTAAATCGAAGTAGTTAAGTGCAGGACCACCATAATTTGAGGAAGGTCAAAATATCAGACATTAGCGCTAGTAAAAGGGTAAAATTAAGTATAAACTAATTACAATTGTACTAGTTTTATTTGGCATTTTGCAAGGTAAGCATGTTGGTATTAGTGTGTAATATTCATGGAAATCTTACTTTTGCTAGCTTAATTATATATCACCAAGTTGAATGGTCATCAGATATGAGCTGTTACTTTTCATTTAATTACTAAAGTAAAAATATGATTAGATAATTATAATCGGCTCAGTATATCGTAGCTGCAAGGATCAAGTCAGTCAGAGATTCGGTCCTCATGCACCTTTCGATATAAATTACAAACAAGTAGAAGCCAGAGATTTTTAAACAAAGCTGGTTTACCTTCTCTTTGGATACCTTTTAAGACTTCTGCCAGAAGTAAATTTCTTTGTCTTTGTACAGCGGAGAATATTCATTGTGTTCACAACACATCAAATGCTTCAACATGATTAGCTCAACTGACTCATTTCTTCCTAATCCTTTGTTTGAAATTACATATTCAAATTGAAGAAATCGAAAGAGAATTACACATCAAAAATGAATAAGGATACAACAAACAAAATTTCTGCATATACTACTGTAGTAATAAAAATAATAGTCGTAAAAATTTAAAGAAAAAGCAACAATTGTTGTATTTGGATGTAGCAAAATTAGGCATGTTGGAAAAAGCTAATTAATTGGAAATTTGTGAATTGCATATATGATTAAAGAGTTAAGAGGGAAGGAGGTGGTGGGTAGGCAAGCCTGCATAGTTCCCGAAGAGGGCATGAGGAGCATCAAAGTAATGCATCAAATTAAGAGCCTGCAGAAACACTGACAAGTGATTTCGCATAGAATTGCTCAAAACACATCCCCTTAAACAAATTAGGGTTCCTATTTCCTATGGCGTGTTGGAATTTTAGAACACGAGGGCGTGACCTCCAACTATGTGATAGTGCTTTCATCTTGAGAACAGTGCATATGGTGTGCTTTCTAGTTGGTTCCAGACATATTGGCCGGCATAGCACACAACAAATATTGCTTTATTAACAAACACCGTCTCAAACTATAATTCTTATAGAAAATATTGGCTTACATGAAAATCAAAATCTCAAATAGGAACCATATTTAGAACCTTTATATTTTTTAATTAAATGATTGTATTGATAAAATGTCGATAATATTTACAAATAACGTTTCAATAACAAAAATTTTTTAACATGTTATTGACACATCAATATTGTCTACAAAATCCATCGTATCACAAAGACTTTTAACGAAAACAAACGTCAATCTTGCTCAAAAAAATATCATGCAAGTTTGTTGGCTAGCTCTGAATGCAATCTGCAGTAACAAATAACAAAACGTACTAAGACCACAACAGAAATTTACAGGGAAAAAGTTCTACAGCTAGCTAAAGGAAATGGAAATATTGGCATGGGAAAAGTCGGCTTCTGTTACCAATATTGTCTTTGTCTCCAGAGTTGTTTGGGGAGATATTTGACATGGTTATCCGAATAGCGAACAATCTACCCACAGAAAATTGATGAGGAGCACAAAACCAGAATGAACCTTTGTGCTGGTACCGAGCTACCACGTATGGTTATAGACACAATACAAAATTGGATGAGAGACATGCATCTCGTCTCACGCAATAATCTTAATTTCTGTACCAGCTCAGGTGAAGCTTTTGAGATTTAGGAAGTTGTATATGCATGTCGTACCACGGTTACCTTCAAAGCATGGGATTGATCAACACTAAAATCAGAATCTGATTCATTGGTCTCGAAAAGGACACAACACATGCATGCTTGTGTGCACATATATATATGTCGGTTAGGATATTGGAGGACCCATTTTTTTACGTTCACATTTTGTAGGGTTCATTTTATAATTTTTCTAAATATGATTCGAATTGTTTGTATTTTAATTCATCATTCATAGATTATCTTTATAAAAAAATTTAGATAAATCCAAAACCATTAAGATATTCATTTATAGTGAAAAAAATTGACGAATACATTTTTGAAAAAAAAAAAAAAAAAGAAACATTAAATGACCATCATTTAATCAGACGGTCATATGCTTCTAAATTTGAGTGATTTTTTTATAGATTTTATTTTTGAGGGAAGATCTAAAAGATAAATAGTTGGATCATTAAAATATACACACACACACATGCTCGCCCACGATATACTTGATGTGATGATAATGTGTTAGAAATGTTAGAATGTGAGCATTCAATATGAAATCAATTAGAGGCACATAAACTTTTAAGCACTTTACGCAAGACTTTCATCTCTAGTATAAGATACTATCAAAATATCCTAAGCACTTTAAAGAAGTACTCAAAAATTATTGTGTGACGAGAGAGTATATGTGACCTGACACGTAAACACAACGTGCTCTCATACTATGCTAGAATGTAAATATTTAAACCAAAAACACTTGACAATACATGTGGAAGTTTATGCAAGACTATCTTCGGTGTGGGATACTCTCAACAAGAAACATGATCAATTTACAATATGCGAACTTGTAAAGGGATCCATTTGAGAACCCAATAACAAAATGTTCATTTTCTCCTTTTTTTTTTTTATTTTATTTTATTTTTTTAATACAAGGTCAAAGATCCCTTTAGATTGCACTCGATTTTTTTTTCTTTGGTAAACCATGTATACAAGAACAACTTTGTTCATTTGTTACTTGTATTTTAAGGCAAAGGTTGAAATGCATATGCCCATGTTGATGGGGGAGGGACCAAAACCCAATGGGCTTTAATCATTTGAAAGCCAGTGGTCCATTTTACTAGGTCACAGCTCCAAAATTCATTTTTTCCTGGGAAATGGAACTGATTGAAAAAAGAGACCTATAACACCAACCAAAAGAGAGATGAGGAATTCAACTCAAATGATCAAGGCACGGAAACACTTCAAAATATACAGGTTGGTTTGTTAATTGTTTCAAAACGTTTACAAGAATTTGAAAAGTTGCCTTCATACAGTTTTTAACCCGATCGACCATGTTCTTTCTCCACCAAGACCAGCCTTTGTCTCAAAACTAAAGCCTTGTTCAATCACTGGACAATAGACATAACAGGGCTGTTGTACTAGGTAATATCGCCAAGTGCAGTCGATAAATATCTCATTTACAAAACTGGTTTTCTGGGATGTACTCACATTGCAATCCATGAGGCCTTTCAACTCAACAACTCAAAAGATTAGCCAACAAGTCCAGAGTCAAATACCTTGAATCTATTGAGCATCAATTTTTTGATGTAGCAAAGAATGGATCAAGAGAACGATGCCAACTGGAGATGATATCCGCTAAAAATTCTCTGACTTGTAATTGCAAAAACCGGAGAGCAAAATTTTCTGCTTAGTATATGGAAGCATCAAATCTCGGCTCATAGAAACAAACCTGGCTGTTGTATGACTGCAGAGCACAGCCTGCTATCCATGACCACACCTTCTTATCAACGTCGTAAAGAAGACCCTTCCCTTGGTTCCAAGATGTGAAGCAAATCAAGTTATCCTGTCCAGAGCACTCAAACCTCTCAGCTGATAACCTTAACAGAGATCGGAAATACTTTGGAGGCATCCTGCTAATCTCCACCCATACAAATTTAGCATGATCCAGTTCCCAGATTCTCATACTCTGAAGAGTACTATAAAGACCAATCCTTCCAACTAGAAACAGACGCTTCTGGGTGCCAGCAACCAAATAACCATCCAATAGAGACCGCGGGAACTTAGCTGGAATGTGTTCCCAGTACCCTGTGTCCAGTCGATACATCATCAGGCCAAGTGGAGAAAGGGTTTCCAAATATAATCTGGAGTCACAATATGCCATCTTTGAGGAGCAAAGATTAACTGCAGGCATTATCTGGTGAATTGACCACGTATTGAGCTTCGAATCATATACTTCAGTGGGCAGTGATTTGTCACCATAAATATCACTAGTAGCTATAACTTTAAATGACCGGTCCTTCCTATCAACAACCATTATTAGCTGCCTCTGCTGATTATAATGCATACTTGGTAATGTCCTCCAAGTTTGTGTAAGAGGGTTACAAACCAAGGCTCTAAAATTTAAGCCATCAAGCCCGGAAAAGCAAACTAAGCCAGCAGAAGAACCAACCAACCAAAACGCCCACTGTGGCA